GTAAGAAAAAGTGAAAAAATTACAAAATCTACGTAGTCAACATTTATAATTCACTGGTGAAGTTAGTATGGAAGGTAAGGGGAGGTCTGCGAGGGAGGGGATGGGGGCTTGGAGTGCAGAAAGTGAATGTCTTGCGCGGATAGGTAGAGACAAGGATCATTTTTTACACAAAAATAAAAAAAAACACGAAAATTATATCAACATAGGTGAATAAGGAATTTGCGTATTCCTATCCTGCTCAGTGGTCAGTCATACTGACCACCCTTTTTTGTCAAAATTTTCGGGTAAAAAAAAGTCAAAAAAAATTTTTTTCACTAATTTTGAGTTATCTAGACCCGAGATGCCTCAGAAAACTCGAAATTTCAAAAAAAAAAGTTCGAAACCTTTAATGTGTGCAGGTAAGGGTTAAAATCGAGTTCTGCTGTGGTGTTAAAAATTTATGGATTAATTAAATTACATAAGGAAGATAAGCCGCTCCGACCAATTGTGAGCACCATAAATTCACCTTTTCATGCAGCGTCTACATTTTTATCAGGAATTTTATCACACATTGTGGGTAAAACTGAATATCATGTAAGAAACTCATTTGAATTTTTTGATTTTGTCAATGCTTTAGAATTGCCCTATGGTTTTCGCCTTATTTCTCTCGATGTCGTTTCCATGTACACAAACATACCTGCAGAGCTGGTTCTGAGCTGTGTGAGTGATAGGTGGGAAGAGATAGAGCAGTTTTGCACCATCCCAAAGGATCAATTTATGTACATGCTAAAAATCTGCATTACGTCAACAGTTTTTGAATTTAATGGCGTGTTTTACAAGCAGATTATGGGCCTTGCTATGGGTGGATGTGTCATCGCGCGCTAAACGTTTATCATGATAGTCTCGGCGATATAAAAATCTGAAAACCTCAATCTTGACGGTTTGGCTCAGCTAGAGCTGGTTTGAACAACACATGATGGGGAATGAACATTGCTCGATTGAGAAGCTTATTGCTGAAACCGTTATAGTGCGCGATTTGACTCAAGCAGAGCTTTAAGTTTCTTGTGAGCGGGCAGTGCAAATTCTTCGTAACCAATGTAAAATAAAAACGTTAATATCTTCGTTAGGAGTTGGTTCGGTAATTTTCGTTGCACGAATCGTGTTCTACGTGAAATTCTGGTAAAAAACATGTATCAGATTGCTTAAATTCGTACCTTGTCTAGTGATCCATTCTCCGTATAATTCTATGCTTTACAGGGCTCACATGGGAATAGAGATCAGCCCTTACGTCAGAGGAGCGACAAAATTTATTTTCCCGAGCTTGATCTCATTCTGGCTGCTACTGCCATGCGAAGGAAGAACGCCGTATGAACCTTCAGACGTCGCCGAATTTCCTTTGATAAAGTAGGTATTTTCAGGGGAATCTGTGAATAAATTCTCTCCAATTGTTCAGAGAATTTTATCTCAAACAGATCTAGATTGTCTGAAAATTCCACGAGGAATATTCATAACTCTCCTTAGAAATGAGAATTTTATTGGAGGAATTTTGGCAACTCTCGAATGTTTATACGGTGTTCTTCGTAAGCATGACAGTTATACCAGGGCGAGCATCGCCTTTCGATTATACCAGTGGTGAGGCGTGAGTGATCGATTTATCGATATTCCCCATTTAACTCTATGGTGAAGTATCTATCAAGGTGTTCGTTGCGAACACCCTCTTTATCGATTCTTTTCCTCTTGGTCTAAATGACAGATTAATCGCACGCCACGTCACTGGATTATACCGCTTGTTGTCTTTCAATTTTTTTGTAATTATTTTCAAAAATGAATAAACTTCGAAGTCAGATCTACGAGGGAGGATCGATATCAAAGCTTTTTCTACAATAATAATCTAAATCCGATACGGAGTGATCCTTTGAATTGATATTTTTTCGGCAGTGTAGCGCGTAAGAAAACTCAAGGAAACGGTCGATGAACGTACTTCACAGAGTTTGTCCGTCCTTTCACTCATAATCTGCTGATACTTCGGAATGAGATACTCAGGCCTTTTCCTTTACTGCAATAAGAGCTCCCACTGGTGACTGAAAAATCCTACACTGAAAAGAAATTCTCGGCGTTTTGACCCAGGTCCGTTGGTACCGTTACCATCTCACTTTTTTGACCAATTATTGGTAACTTTACCAAGACAGACTGGTAAGCTTACCTAAAAACCGGTATTTTTACTGTTTTTTTCAGGTAAGAATACCACTTTTATTGGTAATCAATTCCCGGTAACTTTGCCATTTTATCTCGGTAATTTTACCTTAGTCGATAAAAAATATTGGCGTTTTTACCAAGGTCCAATAAAATTACCGAGAAAGCTCATTAATTTTACCGAGATTTCTCGGTAAAAGTACCAATTCCATAGATGGTAATTTTACCAAGAAAAAACTGGGATCAAATAGAACCCTGAATTCTTGGTAATTTTACCCTTTTCTAAGTAAATACACCGAGATTTTTTCGTAGTGAATCACCGTAAAATATTAAAATATCATGCTTACTCAAAATAAATGCAAAAATACTATTATATTATTGTATTATCGCTCTACTTCCAAATTTTTGTGTAGGCAGTAAGAGACTCCACCTAGCAAAATAGTGGTATCATCATCGTGAAATGGCACGCATACTTCGAACACGCAAAAATTAGCGTTTTACCGGACGAGAACAGGTGATTCTAACGACATGTTAGTTCGCCTACAACTTTAAGGGTAGGCAACATGGGCTCCCACGTGGTCGAATAGTGGTATCACTGTAGGTGTCAGCCTGATTCCGAGCCCAGACAGACGCGAAGAAGTGACTTTAACACATTATTAGCCCGCCTACAATTCTATTATTCTCTAGACAAGAGAATTATTACGCGGAAATTGTACAGCCGCAAGGTGGACTCAGGCCCGCCACAAGGTGGGGGATACTGGGTCCCTGGTACCGGGGCCCGGGCCCCAGAGGGGGCTCGTGTTGCCCGTGAAAAGCCGTTACGAATTCACATGCAACCCTTGTTTCGTAAGAAAAACTGAACAATTTACCCTAAAAATTTCGCCAAAGGTGGATAGATTCTCAGAAACACGATGGGGCACTTTAGAATTCTTCTTAAATTTTCAAAGTAGTGTACTTCTTGGAAAATTTCTATCTATTTTCAAGATTTTCAGTACAGAGGGATATTTTTAGTAACTGCGTTTTATTTTCTTCCGTTGTCAGATGCTAAGAGTCACCAATATTATGGGCATCCTCGACTTCAATGGCTCATGGCTCAACTCCCCTGTCATAGACAAACGAAGGGGGAGTTCAGGGGGGCCTGGCCCTCTTAGAACTGAAAATAGTATCATATGCCCCCCCCCAAAAAAAAAAAATAAAAATTTTCCAGATGTTTTGAATGCAAAAATTCGCAAGTATTTTGTGCTGAAAGTATAAAAAAAACATAATTATTCCGCAGAAATTGATGAAAAAATTCTTTCTGGAAGCTTCAAAATGCGTCCGATTAGTCGTATAAATTCTAAAATTTCTCGGGGGATGCCCCTCGGACTCCCCCCCCCCTCCGTGCTTGGGGCCCGGACCTTAAATCAGGTATCAGGGCCCGAGATGGGATGTGGCGGGCCTGGGTGGACTGAATGCTGACGTTTTTATAGCCTCCTCAAATTAACAAAGCTAATAAATCCAATTCAAATATGATTGGAAAAATATGTGTTTGGAGCACTGCATTAGGAAATATATATATGTTTCAGGAAAGAATAGTTGAAAAGAAATGTTGTAAAAACTTGAATACTGAGGACAATTATCGGTTTTTAAAAATGTAATACATTCTAAGGAAAGAAGAAAACAAACGAAAAAAAATATTTACGTGCCAAACGAAACAGACAAAAACATTAATGGGAAAAAGTGAAATCCAGTATACATACTGTTAAGTAACGCTTGAGCTTGACCACTCCCCCCCCCCTTTTGTTACATGATTTTATCACAAGGAGGCGAGAGGTGGCTCGGAACTTACCCTTTTTTTCCTTGGAGCAAATCTTCTATAAATGTAAAAAAAGCAAAAAAAAAAACAATTTTGATACTTAGAACTTATTCGTGGTAAGGCGCGTCTACCTTCGACAGGGCCTTTGCAATTAGACCACATACAGTGGCGATTATCGATATTTCAAAGAGTACTGTCGTGTTAAGGGAAAACGCCGCATACAAGCCTTCAGACGTTGCAAAATCTCCCTTGATAAAATATATATTTTTGAAAGAAAATACTCAGGTTTTTCCTTGTAATTTCAGGAACTTTATATTGCATTGGAGGAAATATGGCGACGTCTGCAAAAGGTTCATACGGCGTTTTTCCACAGAGTATAGGGGCCGTCCGTGAATTACGTAACGCACTTTTTTGGCATTTTTGACCCCACTCTCCCCCTTGTAGCACTTTTATGGCATAGGACGCGTAGGTCCCCATCATTTAACACGTAAAAACAAAATGGCGTAACGCTCTCTTCGATCCCCTTCTCCCTTAGAGCGTTACGTAATTATGGACGGCCCCTTACGGAATACTTCGACGAAAATTCAATTTCTGAAAATTTGGCGGTTAAGCGCCCTTCTTCAAATACCCCGCTTAATAACCCGATTGGGTGAGCGCAGAGAGTGAAATCCTTACTCGAGTATTACATGACTTTGAAATCGATGCACGTAACTTTCGATTTCAAGATCATCGGGGACTATTTATACATGCATCAATCACGAACTAGTTTTCAATCGTTGATTCATTTTCCCGGGTAAATGTTCCGCGGAGCTGTGTGTGCTTTTCCCCCGCCGAAGGGGATTGGGGTACCGGCCGTGTGAGGGAAAATCGTCTGGGGAGGCGGCTTGTGTATGGTCCAAGTGCGGAGGTGGGAGCGGGGGCGGGGTCAGCGACGGGCGTGAGAGCCAATGGGCTTCCAGGGGCGGGCCCCCTTCCGCCTCAACAGGTACTCGGATGCGGGCAGCAAGGACAACAAGCGGCTGACTATCATTACCCGAGCTCCGGCTGGGCTGCACGACCACGCGTCAAATTTTCTAATTTGTGTTTTCAATAATGACTCTCCTGTCAAATCATACGGCACCCTATTCATTAGGCTAATTACGGCTAAAGCGAGGCAATTGGGCCCGAGCTTATTGTTTCCCGCTAATGACGCTCAAGTGCTTTTTGAGTGTCCCGTCCTAGTGCTCCCGTCATCCTTCGTCTTCGATTTTCGGATTTTTTTCTCCCGCGACCCGCGCCCCCCATGCTTCCCGGATTTTCGCACCCCCATTTTCGCTGTTCACCCCCAATAACCCCCGGTGCGACTTTTTGTGGATAGTTCGCCTTTGATGCGGTCATAGATGAATTCCTTTTTTTCCAATTCCGCGCTTCAGTGAATTTAGTTTTCGAGAGTGTCTTCAAAACAATGTTCGTTCGGGAAATCAGTGGAAATCGATATAATTAGTGATCCATCGTGTTCCTATTGAGTGCGCAAATCTAGTTTGAAATTTTATGAATGGATATAATCGTGTTTTCTAGTGTTCGAGGAATAAGTTCACCACTACTTTTAAAGAAAAAACAAAAGTGTTGAATTTTCTACGAATTATTCATTAATATTGGATTAAGCGATTCATCTAAAAAAAAAAGAAAAAGAAAAAAAGGTACGTCCATCCTGCCGTCCTGAATTATACTTTTGCATGCGGAAATTAGTTTCAATTGACTTTTGCTTATTAATTAAAGTTTTGAATCATTTTGAAAGCGTTCACAGGGAAATTTATCGTCTTGGACGTTTCATGCAGACATATCTCACACTGATAACATCTTTTGTGTTCTTCTGCTACTCTCGGTTAATATAGGAGGTGAAACACAAACCAACACAAATTTGTTCCGATTCCGGTACAGTTAGCGGTGAATTTAGTACAAAGAACAATGGAGAGACTGGAGGAAAACATTCCTCCGCGCAACGTTGGTACTGACCACTCGTTGTTTACACAATTTCCTCAAGAAAATTAGCTGGCATTTTCACTTGAAATTGTCAATCTGAGGGTAGGGTTATTTTATGTTTTACTTCCCGGATAAACCAAACTTTTGTGTTGAAATTTCTCGCTGTGCCTTATCCTTAAATTATATGATGTATATAATATTGGATATTGTTTCCGTTTTAATATGGCTCATTATACACATGATCAATTGGGTATTTTTTTATGGCAAGGTATGTTATGAGTTTTCCGCGTCGATATGCTAAAAAATCGACATGTAAAGCATTCAAGGGGCATATTCCCTGCAATTCTTTAGATTGTGTGCTGAAAACATTCAAGATGCATAATCAGCTCGGAATGCCATAGACTAATTCACGTAAATGTCCGCTTTTATCAACCAAACTTCTTTCATGATCTCCGGAGCTTTTGCTCGAGAGACTTTTTCGCTCGAGAGACTTTTTCGCTGAATGAAATTTTGACGCGAGTCGCTCACAATCAGTAAATGCCGTGCGTAATTAGTTGAATGTGTTAACTTCACTAAAGATTAAACGTCTTTCAATTTTGTCATTTAGATCGAGACAGGTATTAAATACGGGAAAAATTGTAAGGCTATAGCTATATATGCCCATCATGAATATAATCCCAAAGTTCTCAGTCGTTTAAGATAATAATACACTACACGAGGCAATCCAAAATTCGACGCACCACTCCTCAAAACCTTCAAGTCCCTATCTCAGTTTGTTCAAAAGTTACAGACGTGATGCCTAGTGTTTGAGGTGCATACGGGACTTTTTGATCACCCTGTATAGGGAAATTTCATCCTTCACGAGAAATGTATCCCATTAAATTAATTATTGGGGGAGGAATATTTTGCCGGTACTTAAAGTGAGTACCGCGCGCAAGGGTAGCTTTCAACTCGACTATGGTAGTTGAATCAAAATTGATCTAAATCTGTTGTTACTGACATTGCGTCAAAATCATAATAAAAAATGAAAGGCTTGGAAGACAAGGCGCATAAATGCAGTTTTCTAAAAAATTGAGGTATCAGTGATTTCAACTAAATCTAGGTTCGAAGTAAATTCTGTGAAAAATTCACGGGTAAGATCCAATTTCAAACATCAAAATGTGAGTTTGAACTTTCCCTCCGCAATAAGGCTTCATATAATTTAGAAACTTTAAACACTTTTTTTCGAAATATAAGACACAAGGGACCTGGACAGGAAGGTGCAAACTCACATTGGTGTCCATCCAAGGAAAAAAAAAAATAATTAACTTCTAGTCCTCCGCGAGACAGTTCAAGGTTTGTGACGTTCTAGGGCTTAAAATTGCCATCTTTTACTTTTTCTATGCGACTAAATCTCAATAAGGCTCTTATCAGAAAAGCTTCGAATTCTTTTTTTTTATTTAAAAAATTGGTCTGTTCCTTTTTGTTTAGCACGCTCGATCACGACGTACTTTCTTCCTACTCTGCTTCCTCTGATAAAAAGTGATTAAACGACTCGCCGGTAATACTTTAACTTCTCGCTCTTACATCAACATATTAAGTAACGTGAAATAACTTTAAATTCTTAATAGCTTAATATCAACATATTAAGTATCGCGAAATAACTTTAAATTCTTAATAGCTCATCCAGAATTAAGAATCCACCGAAAGAAAAAAAAAATCATGGATGAAAAATGGGTCATATTATGAAAAACTGGATTGGTTCCTGTCTTGAGGCCGCGTGAAAGAATATAAACAACTCTCCAAAAGCAAAAAAACTGCATGTAAGAATGGGATTAATTTTTTATACCTTCCAATCCACGAATATCGATAAAAAAATTAATAAATTTGAAACCCCAATATTTAAAGCTCTTCAAATTTGCCTTATTTCACCGGGTAAAACTATTTTTATAAAAATATCCAAATATCCCGTTTATGGGACTGAAATCATAATCTGGGACACTAGCAAAATGAATAGTATTATAATAATAAAAAAAGAAAGAAAGAAAAAAAACATCGAGTTTGATTTTTAACTTTACTCCTTATTCACATTCTACGAGTCTACGACGAAAAAAAAAAAAAAAAAAAAAAAAAAACATTAATTTTGTAGCACCATTGACTTAAAGTTTTATTTTTCTCTTCTCAACATTAAATCATTGGAATAATGAAGTTTTCAACTCGTTTCCTCTGCTTTAGTTTTATGTACCACCAATCTTTCCCCTGGACCCTATATTTATGATAATAATGATGAAATAATAATGTTAATGAACATACCAACCAATACTGACCCCTTTTGATTTTAGCTTCTAACTCGCCAAATTTCGTAATTTTACTCCACTTATTTTAACAAATTCTTTAGCTATCAGTGATAAAAGAAACGCTCATTATCTTAATAGAGCTGTTTGCCAAAATGTAGTCCATGCTTTCAGTACAGTTGTTTTTAGAATTTGTAGCCCGTTTGCTCCTTTTTTTTCTCAAGTAATGGCAAGTGCCGGCAAAAAAATTAATACCGACAACGTAGAGAAAGTCTCTTAAAAGTATCGCTTTTGGTGTGCCTTATTTTCTAACAATTTGTCTCATCTAACTAAGTAAATCCTAATGTTAAGTTGTTTTTTTGTAATAAACTTCTGGCGTGTTGATATGCAGAACCGGTCTTTAAAGATTATCAGTTTTATGGTTATATGTCATAAATCATTCATATTCCTATGGAGTGAGTAAGGGGGGGGGACGCTAAGCTACTCAATAATCCCTTTTAAGAACAGTATATACATCATTGAGATTTATTTTTTTGCTTTAAATTAGCGTTTTCTGATCGTTAAGTGGTTAGACAATCAATTTTTGGCATAAATTTGACTTGGAAATTCATTTTTAAAGTGAATCGTAGAGCACTGTTGATGCGAGACTTTCACACATTCTCGAGATTGAAGGCTCTTAAAACTTGCACGTTGTCTACTTACTTGCTAAATAAACTTCAAAATTGAATAATTAATAAAAACAGGCGTGTGGCTTAAACTTTTTAGCTATATGCCACTGCCCTTTGTTGGCAATCCTATACAAATTTCAAAATATAACGTTGTTTTGATTTTACTCCATAGACTGTCTTTTTCACGGAAGTTTTGAAACAATAACTTGATTAAACACATGATTTTGGAGTTCATTCATTAATTGAAGTGCTTCTTCTCAGTGGAGCTGAAGAATGTTTTACTATTTGTTCTCTTATAATGCTTTGAATTATTTTCACCTTTTCTAAACATAATGCTACCGCGCCGTCCTTAAGATGCAGCTGAAATGGCATGCCGGATAAAATCCAAGAAGTCACAATTTAAGATTTAAAATCATCTTACATTCAGTGCAGTTGAAGTGGTATAAAAAGGTTGACCGATTTATGGACATTATAGGTAATGGCATGCGCTATGCGCTGAACACTTATGTTCCTTTCCATAGCAAGGAATCAAACTAAGAATTTGAGCTCGGCCAGGTGCTCTAAATGATGAATTTTTATAATTTTGAGCCCCGTTACATATAATTAACAAGTATTTAAATCAAAAGAATTTTTGAAAGAAACTATTTAGGAGCGTCATTCAGCATGAGCAGAGGGACAATCACTTTGTAAAACTGGTTAAAAACACCTTTTCAATTAAATAAAAAAAAAAAAAAATATCTTAAATTCAGGGCAAATTTTCTTGATGCAAAGAAAATATGTTTCTGTTCAACTGAGTTTTTTCTGTTTAATTTAAAGAAAATACAATTTATCATCAGTGGAAGAGTCACATTTCTTTGCACCGTATAAGAATGCTCTCTCGAATTAAGAAACAAAGTTCCTCGCTCGAAAACAATACATTTTAACACAAAAACCAATTTTGAGCCATTGCTTTTTCGGCCTCCAAAAGTCTTCATATTAGCTCAAAATGATGCTGTGACGAATTTCTGAAAATGCACGTAAAAAATAAACAGGAATATAGTATGTTATTTGAGAGCGGAATATGAAGCACGTAGAAAAACGGCCGATAAACTAAACTCCTATTTTAAGCATCCGTTAATGGGCTGTTGTGAGTACGATCCAAGAATTGGCTGGCAAATAAACGTTCCTATGCTATCTTTTCGTGAGAATCGTGTTTCGTGTTTCGGAGCTTACGAAAGCTCAGAGAAGCTTAAGTAGGCTTTTTTCGATCACAAAAAAAAAAAAAAAAAAAAAAAAAAAAAAAAAAACCGCATTTGAATAGCTTGATGCGTATATAATGTCACATAAGGCGACGGCCCCATGGTTTCAACCTCTTTGAGTCGAATGCAACATGGTCGCTATATGATTAATATTACGAATACCTAAACGATTCCATTTCAACGAAACAATACAAATATTCACTTTAAGCAGCGATAAGAATGCGATTTGAAAAGCTATTCCTTTCTCTTGCGAGGAATACGAGAGTGCCGCTGCTACCTTTAATTAACTCCTGCCTTTACAGAAAGCCCTCAAAGTTGAAGTAGTAGTGGAAAGTCCACCTACTTGTTCCGTCGAACTCATGTTGCACATGGTAGGGGTGGACGTCCGAGTGGGATTTCCGTAACCCGTCGTTCCTCGCACGAGGGAACGTAACCACATTACAACGTTACAAAATTGTCTTTAACAATTCAATTATGTACAAGAAGGTAGGTACCTCTGCAATTTTTGCCCCAAACATTCCAGATTTTTGTATGAGAT